CCAATCGCCCTCCCGAGCAGAAAACCCCAATGGCCTTGAGAACAGCGCCGTAGCTCTCTACTTCACGAAGCCGAGAAGCCACTGCGAACTTCCGCCATGAACACGCAGTTTTAGCAATTTATTTGCCGCACCTACACGTCTCATGTTAGCCTCTTTACCCTCTTCAGTCGGGGGTGTGTTCTTTTTTCTCTCAAAACCTACTCAGTACGGGAGTTGCCGGTGGTCTGGCTGACGCACTCCGCGGGCCACTTGGAGCCGCCGTCGCACTTGGAAGGGCATCCGCCGGCGCCGAGGCTGCTGTCGATCACCTAATTATCGAACCCCAAGTCAGTACGAGAGCCGAAGGTCACTACCCAAGACCATCGAGAGTAGGGGGCCAGGGGTTTGTGAACGTACGCAGCAGTGGCTTCCATCCTTGTACTTGCACTGGTACCAACCGGCGCAGGCCTCGGTGGTGGCGAAGAAGGCCAGGAAGGCGACGGCGGCGGAGATGATGCGGACCATTTTGAAGAGGATTGGCTTGGGTCTTTGGGATGGTGACGAAGATGGATGCGGAAGTGAAGCTGGTGTTGTCTCTGTGCTGATGATTGTCTGAGGAAAGGGGAAGAGGCAGCTGTATTTATATTCGATCGAGACTCGCAGAAGATGGTTATATCCCGCAAAGATGCCTTACTGTTCTCCTCAAAGTCGCCGGTTTGTTCGTCCACCGAGATCCTCAAATGGATGCATTCGCCTGCCCATTTCTGCATTGGGATACCCTCAAACTTTGGGGTATGCGTGTTAGAGTGACCGGTAATGAAGAGATACGGAAGTCAATCCTCCTGACTTGTGTCAGTGATGGAGTAAATCCCGGTGTCTTTTCGAGTCTATACTCCACATGACCTTTTTCAGCAAAAGCTCTACTCTCGTTGAAGGGTCCTAGTACATACAGTATACAGTCAAAGAGATATGTATATACTAGTATACACTATTACAGGGCAATCACGTACAGAGACATTTGCAAAAGGTGAGATTTCTTACGCACATAGTGCCTAAAATGAAAAAAAAAACAAAAAAAAAACAAATACTTCACATGACTCCTTATGCAGTTATCGTGAAGAGGTTCTAGCGTCTAGGACGTCAGCTTGTCGGAGTCTCCGCGACCTGTGAATGAGGCTTAAGTCCGCGTCCGGGTCGGTTTAAGGAAAACCTAGCACATTACCCGAAGGCCTGTCACATTACTTGGAAAGACGGTGAGTATTGATGCTGAGTCAATGTAAATAGGCCTCCGTAGTGACTCCATCGTGAAGTCTTGGCGGATTACCAGGAGACGGGGCGGGTCGGTCGTAGGCGGCGAGGCTCCGGTGAATCTATGAGTAGTTGGGTCTGAAAGCGGTCCGCGGGGGCCCCGATAGCACGGGGTAACATAGTACAGAAGAGATCTACAATTTAGAGAGTGGAGTTTCCCTTGAGTCTGGAAGAAGTCTAAATTAGGTTGACTCGAGTGGGTTCACGATACTATCAAAGTACCCGGGGGCCTTGGTACTGCTTAACTCTCCGGTCAAGCTTTCCTCCTACAACGCCAATTTACAGTCAATATAATTAATCACTTCCTGATTGACGATCGTGGGGACTATTGCCACATTTGGATTGGCATGTTGTTCGGGGCAGGCAACGGGATTGATCATTCACCCTTCACAAACCTTCCTCGACAAGTCGAACAGAAATGGCCACCCCATCAACACCATCTCCCCCTTCAACCTCAACCCAAACCTTTTCCCCCTCAAACCTCGCCCCAACCCCGTCACGCCCACGATACACAACCCTCCCGCCAACATCAACAACCACATCCCTCACCCTCACAGGAACACCAACAACGCCCCTGGTGCCCCTCGCAGCCCACACAACAATCCTAAACTGCACTCCCTCACCCGTCCCAAAGTCCTCCCACTCAACCCGGATCCCCTCCCCCTCGGGCGTCGGCACAACACCCCTCGCCCACTTCAACCCGCTCACCTCAGGAATAACACTCCACGTCCGGAACCCAGGCCCCGTAGGCCTCACCCCGAGAACATACCCACTCATCAGCGGCACAACACCCGTAGACCACCCGTGCGCCATACTCGTGAACCCGTCCTCGTAAGGCCGTCCATCCGGCCCCCCGATCCCCTCCCAAAACGTCACGCCCGAATCCTGCCCCGCCATCCACCCGTACAACCTCCGCATCTCCTCCACGGCCGTCTCCCCGACCCCGGACGCGAACCGCGCCGCCATCTCAAAGTAGGAGATGAAGGCGTACACCCGCTGACTGAACCCCTGGCCCACAGCATCCGAGTCGTAAAACGCGTTCCCGTAGGTCCGTGACGCGGCGCCGGCGTAGTACGCCAGGATGCCCCTCGCCGTACTCGTGTCCACCACGCCGCCAGCGAGAATGGCGAGACTGTTCCCGTCCTGCGCGTGTGCCGCCACAAACTCCCCGGCTCCGTCCGTCCCGTCCCAGAACGCGCCCCTCGCCGTGTCAAAGTTGCGTCTGGCCAGCGTGGAGGCGACGTCGTCGGCCCTCGCTACCCACCGCTCTGCGTCCCCTTCCTTTTCTATCTCTGCCGCCATTTCCGCGGCCCGGCGTAGCGCGAAGACGTAGAGCGCGTTGTAGTACGTCACTGGCCCCTGTCTCGGCAGGAAAGCGTAGTCGCCGTAGCCCGAGGTACCATTCAGGCCCTTGGTCACGAGCCCGGTCTCCGGGTCCGTGACGGAGACGTACCATCCGTCTAGAACGGCGACGAGGTTGGCGTAGTAGGTTGAGATGTACTCCACGTCGCCCGTGTACCAGACGTAGTCGTGGCTGCAGACGACCCACCAGAGGGGGTAGTCGAACAAGGGAAGCGTGTAGTTCATACTTCACATCCCGTCCCAAGCATTAGTTTCCCAGGTGAAATGGCTTAAGCAGCGTCTAGTACAAAGAAGAAAAATGAAGGAGAGAAGATGGGGAAAAAAAAACTCACATGCTCGCCGGCGGAATCCACCCATCACCCCTCTGATGAACCGCCAAATCCACCAATACATTCCTACTCGCCTCGCTCAACATCCCATTCCCATGCGAAACATACCCCGTCAGCGCCGCGACCGCCAGGTCCCCGACGTACGGATCGCGATCGCGCTTCGGCGCGTCGTGCAGCACAATCTTCCCCTCGAGCGTCTCGCTCGCCGCGCCCCGGGGCTCCGCGTCCTCGGCGCCGCGGAACTCGTCGACGCAGAGGTCGTTGGTGTACACCCCGTCGAACCACCACCGCGTCAGCTCCTCGTCGCTGCACTCGAACCAGCCCCGAAAGGTACCGGGCGTGCCGTGGTAGGCCGAGAGCGCTAGGGACAGCGACGAGATATTGACCTGGCCTTGTGGGGTTGTGTGCGGCGCGTCGGAGGGGAGGGCGTCGAGGTAGATGCGGAGGTAGCGGAAGCCGTGGAGGCCGTCTGCGCAGACTTGGCCTTTGCCTTGTTCGTTGGTATACTGGCATCCGTGTTTCGCGGTCCAGGTGTAGTTGTCCTTGGCGACTGCGATTTGGTCGCTGCCGGGTGTGATTGTGTCGCCGTTGTAGGAGCGGGAGAAGTCGCTGACGTTGCTCAGGAACTGTAGTGTCTCGGAGAAGGCTAGTCTGATGCCGGGTCTGCTGCTGCTGTCCTCTTGGTCTTTTCTCTCATCGTTTTCGTGACCCACGGTTCCGGAAGTAGACGAGGACGACGACCCGGCAAAGGAAATTGAAATAATACCCACAGTATTCTGTCCAAAGTCGACCGTCACGGAGGGTGCCTCATCTCCCGCCGAGTCACGAGTAAAGACCGTGGGCCCGCCTTCGCCGTTGATTAATCCCGACGGATTAGCGACGTCGCCGCGCGTGAGGTCGGGAATCACCCGCGCCGGGTAAATCGTCCTGGACTCGCTCGCCCGGACATGTCGGTGCCAGCTGGGCACCTCCTCGCGGCGAATAGACTCATCACGAGGCGTGCTGCTGCCTCTCCAATGTGGGTTTATGACATCCCATTGGCCGGTTACGAATGCAAAGAGGATTGTCCATAAATTCGGCATTACGGCTTCGTCATGAGTGGAGGAGCGAGTGTCAATGACGTAGGCTGCTTGATAATCTGTCTAATCGAATAGTGAATGGGCTTTCGAAACAGAAAAGAGAAATGAGAAAATGAATGAGCAACGTGCTTTGATGAATTTGATGGATGAGCAATAAGTTGAGTGAACATACGAGTCGAGGAGGACTAAGGTCGGCGCGGGTAGGAATGCGGAATGCGGGGTCCCGCCCGGCGCTTCCCCAGATCGGATGATCTACGAACGGCAGTTGGCTGTAGGTAGGCTGAATCCACAACCCCAGCCCATTGCGGACCGCGGCCAACGATAGGGACTCGCATCTTTACACTGAGCCAGTCTCAATTCCACCAAATCCATACTACGTACAGCACGGAATTATAGGTTCCTAATACGTGCTTCCGCAGCGTTAGATGGGAGTATTTGATCACATTCATCTTTGCACATGCCACATTGTCGTTTTCTTCAGTTGCAACAAGAATCCCTGGTAACTTCAAGACAGACAATCAAATGGTATTAGACAGCACTGCGTCTCAACTGTCTCTATCGCCTCAATGCCACACCAGCGGCGCGATGGATGACCCCAATGCAAAGTGTCCATGTCCATGCCACGACGCTCCGAGTGGGCATCGTGTCTCTAAACAAAAGGAAGAGAAGAAAAAACAAGGGTTTCGAGGTAGCTCAAGACACCCCTCTGTGAAGACCTTGGTATGTCCACGCATCTCAAGAAGAAGTAACAACTGCGAAATGCATACGCGCGCGCAAAGTATCCATGGCGCTAAGGTTCATATCAGCGACCATGTTTCAATGTGTCGTCCATCAATCCATAAACCTTCTCAATCCCACCGCCTGTACCAGGACGCCGTCAAAAAGCCAAGAAAGGTATTTTACACTTTCGCTGTCTGTTAAACATGATGATCGTAAAGAGGCCTTATACAGTGCCTCGAAGTCTTTGCTTGCGTGCCAGCCAGTCGCCAAGCATGTTGTCAAGTTGCTATACAAATGTCAGTTCGAAAGCTCACGGAACTCCTTGTGTATCTCGACTTACTGTTGTAATTTCCGCCAACTTGGCATTCTGTTCGCGGAACAAAGAGCCTGCGACGGGGTGTTCCGGTCCAGCAGGCGCCACCTCGCTCTTGTCGTAAACAACGACCAGCATATCTCGGATATCCGAGCTCGAATCGAAAAATGCCCGAAGCTTCGCATCATTCCAGCTGCTACCGGTAGTGCTGCCACCCGTGGATGTTGAGCTGGCAGTCATCGAATCTTGAGCGCGATGTCTGCCTGCCTCCTCAGCGTCAATGAGCTCTGGCGATGGTGACGTCGAGTGGCCTTCTTGACTGGAAGTATCCACCATGAGCGCAGGAGGGTTATGCGAAGTGACCGGCGACACTTGCACGGGAGATTCGGAAAGTCTATCCTTTTCGCGTTCAACAGCGGTAGGCTGAGGCTGAGGCTGAGGCTGTTGAGATTGCGTAGGAGTAATTGTCTTATCCGTCTGAGCGCTGGCAGCACTCAAATTGCTCATGTAGCTGTCAGGGAAGGCGCCAGGCAAAGGCCGTTCCAATTTCTCTTCCTTGACAATCTGATGTGCCTGCTGCTGCACAGGTGGCTCGGCAGACTCAACCTCCTCCCCGGAAGAGTCAAAGTCATCAAGTTCAACTCGAGACTTCGCCTTGGTGACCTTTTGCGGCTTCGGTTCACTATTGCCACTCCTCGACGGGATGATCTTGGATAGGGTCGACTTTTCTTGGGGCGGTGATCGAGTCGTCTCTGGAGACTTGATCCGCTGCTGTTGAACAGAGAGTTCTGGATCCGAAGAATCATCCTCCACAATGCGCATAGAAGCGGGAGGTACGTTCGAGACGTTGTTAGGGCGGCCCTCGGAGGAAATGAATTCGGAAAGCTCCCTGGTAGCAGACTTTTGCGGCGTTGCCGCCCCATTGAGTCTCGCAGGAGACGGCTCGACTCTCGGCTGTTGCTTCTGGAGCTTGCTTGTGCTCCGTTGGGGGCCATCGCCTCTCGGGGACAACGGTTCCTTCGGCTCCTCTTCCCGACTCTCACGGCTTTCGCGACTCTCTCGGTCCTGAGATTCTGTAACGATATCCATCGATCTCTTGCCAAAAGACTCATCGTCGTCGTCCGTGGTCTTCTTCTTGTCCTTACGCGAGAAAAAACTCCGAATGGTGCTCGTCTTCTTCTCCTTCTCCTTCTTGTCCTTCTTCTTCTTGTCCTCCTTCTTATCCGGCTGCAGCTCCTTGTCCATCTTGTCCAAACTTGGCCGTTGCTTGACCTGGACGCTTTCCGTTGTCGAGGGTCGCGACCCGCTGTCGTCACGAAGCAAGTTAGGCGTAAGCGTGATCTTCTTGGTCTCGACCGTTTCGTCCTTAAAGAAAGAGTCGGTGTTCCTGACGGTGCCGTTCCTCGACCTACTGGGACCTTCTGGTTTTTCGAAGATTTCGCCGCTGTCACGTTTCGAGTCATCCTCGGGTGCCTCCTCCTTCTTCGTCGGTTCCGCAACGTTGACCTCCTTCGTTGTCGCCCTTGGCTTGAGGGGCTCCACCTTGGCCGTATCGTCATCCATCGTTTCCTCTGTTGCCTGTTGCGACGTTTGTTGTTGTTGCTGCTGCTGCTGCTGTTGCTGCTGCTGTTGAGCACCCTGTTGTTGAGAGAACAGCTCGTCGACCTCGTCCTCGTCCGAGGAGTAATCATAGTCAGAGTAATCGACGAAAGTCGGGGCAGCGAACGCGACCGTCTTCTTCTTCTTCCTCAGAGCAGTCTTGAAGGTGCTCTTGGACTTTTCCCCAGACTGATCTCCGAGCATTGTAGCGGAAAGCTGATCTAAGTCAGAAAGGTTCATCTCTTCCATGGAGGGAGCGACTACGTCTATATTCCTGTGCTTGTTCAAGCGCGCCAATCTCTCGGTCGGCGTTTCAATGTGCTCTGCCGGCAGATAGCCTATTGTTCATGTAAGGAGCTGCTCTTTGAACAACGCTCAAAGGGTCCTTACCAATGCTGCTGTCCTTCACCACACGGACCAGCCACCAGTAGCTGTTGCTGTCATCCAGCAACACCATGGTGTCGCCCTTGGTGGCATTTGCTTGGCCCTCGACGGTTGCGACAAAGGTGTGCAACGCGTAGACGAATTCGAAATCGATGTCCTCTGGTTCGTGTAAGCACTCGTTGCCCCAGCCACAGGCAATAAACCTAGAATCATCAACAAGAGAAACATCGCCGTCATCATCATCTTCATCATCAATAGAGGGTTCGTATGGGATCGTAAGCGGGATGCCGTCATCGTCAAGTCCACCAACTGCCTCGTCTCTTTCTGCCCTCTCCATCTCGGCACGCCGCTGCGCAAAGTCGTCGTACACCGGTTCTCCAGTTTTCCGCACGCGAAGCGGACGAACCACAATGGGTCCATGCTGTGCAACACTCTGCAAGTCAAACTTGGCTGCATAATTGCTGCTGTTTTCCTCCTGCCAGTCAAGCCCGTCGTTGCATTCATCGCCGTTTTGTTCGTCGTCATAATATTCGTCGGTATACTGTTCCCCGTCGAATCGGTCGTCGTCGTCGTCGGTCGTATTGCGATCCTATTCGGGATACTCACCGCGAAGATGATGATGATGGGTTGATGTCTTGACAGATGCCTTGCTATGCTGCCAAGAGAGGTGCGCTGGGAGGTATTCAAGGGATTCGGTATAAGGAGAAGAGGACCTTGCCTCGCTGAAGGAAGGGGAAACGGGGGAGGCGTGATCTCGCATGGCGGGTAGAGAGTCGACTCTACGCGGCCATGATTGCGGAGGCATAATCGAAGTGTACCCACCATCTTCAATCGAGGGCGAACTCGAAATCTTGTCCATCATGTCGTCGTCGTCCATGCTCTCGTCGGTGTCGTCCATGTTCCCGTCGTCCGAGACACCTCCATTTTGTGCGACAGCCAGCGCATCTTGCTGTTGTTTTTTGCTCGCGTCGTCCATTGTGCTCCCAGTCAGCTTCCTCGAGACCTCTCCCGCGAGATCGTCTTCGTCGGAGATGTCGTCGTCGTCGGCGTTGGTCCAAGATAGCCTCGGGCTGCGCGCTTGATCTTCGGCGGATTCCTGGGCGACCTCTCGAAGAGTCTCGGCCTGGTGCGGACCGAACGAGCCGTTGGGCGCCCTGCTGTGGTCTTTCGCTGAGGGTGCTTCCGGGTTTTGCAGATCGATGGTGTCTGTGAATGCGACAGAGGAGGCCAATGGTCAGCGTGACATGTCAAGCAAAGAAACAAAGCTGCCGAGTTTATTTTTTTTTTCCTTCCTTCTTCCTCTTGCTCTGGCCAAAGGGGGGTGGGAGGAATTCTGTGAAATTGATCGTCCGCGGTTCCAGCCGTTAGACCAAGACGGGTTCAGGCTAGAGCTCAGACACAGAAAACCCAGAGCCGAGTAGGAAAGGGGGAGTTTTGTGTTTGGGGGGAGAAATTATGTGGTGCGACAGGAGGAATGGGCAGCAGGCGCAGGCGCGGTTGTTTGGGGGTCGCATAAACTTACCAGCGCGAATAATGTGAGGTCTCGTCATGTTGGATCAGGTCGTGGGCCAGCACAGCCAGCCGAGACGGTTGTGGGAAGGTTGTGGGAATTGTGATTTTGTGACGGGATTACTCGAGTCGTGAAGTGGTATGTTGTGGTGCGGCGTATGGATACACAGTTGAGTGTGCAGTGCAGACAAGAGGTCGTTCCGTTCACAGTTCCGTCTGGATTATTTTTCCTTTGCGCTTGACGAGCCAACCCCCTTTGGACCCGTCAGTTGGTACGTTGGAGAGACCCTGGTCGGCAGACGACGTATGGAGGACGGTTCGGAAGTGTATCATGGAGCGAGGGTGCCAAAAAAAAGCTGGGGCGGTTGGCAATTGCCAAGAGAATGGGATGGGCGAAGCGTACGGAGTATGCGTAGCGTGGTCTGGCCTGGTGTGGTCTGGTCTGGAGAAGGGAGGTGGGAATTACTGACTGTGTGTGACAGTAGTAGAGGTACGGAGTAGAGTAAGGCGTGCCGGTGCTGGGCGTTGAACGGGGGTCGAAATTGCGACTCCGCTGTTTCGTCGGCTGAACAGGGACGCCAGGCTGGGTTCTAGCGGCGCGAGAGATTGCCGTCGGGGCTGCCAGGGTGCGGCGTCACTGCGGGAAGAGGGACGATGATGAAATGGTTGGACGAGGTTATGCGAGGGATTTCGGAAGTCTGTTGGAATTCGGAGCGGATGAAAAGCTCGGCGGTCGTCGCCAGTACCACACGATTATTGGGAGGCAATCAAGCGATGTAGTGAATTCGGATAGACAGCCGGCGGAAGGTCGTGTGCTCAGTCAGACAGAGTGCTGTCGGGGGCCAAGTTGAAAGTAAGCGATCAAGGAGTGCGCTGCTTGGTGAATGGTGGTGGTGGTCGACCAAGGAGGGGCGGTTGGTTTGGATGGCTTGCTGGGCTGGGCTGGCAAGGAGCCGGCTATGAATAGAACAGGGAACGGCGCAGTTGGTGAAGGAGGCGCTGACGAGTTGAGGCGAGTGCCAGGTAACCGAAGTTCCGTGCTGTGGTTGTTGTATCCTGTATCATGTATGTGTACCTAATAAGGCGAGTTGTAAGGTGAGGGGATGCTCGAGAAGAATAATTAAAAGGAGCGACAAGGGCTGAAGAGGATGTCAATGGAATGGATGGTAAGGTTAGGTAGGAAAACGGTGCGGACTGCAAAATCAATTCTGGGCCCCAAAAAAGTGCCCAAGATGCTGGATTCGGTAAACGTCAAGCCGACAAGAAAAAGAGAGAAGACGGGAAGACAAGGAAGTGGGAAAGATGTGTTCAAAAGTGTGTTTAGCTTATTGTGTGCTGTGTGTGTCGTGTGTGTGTTCTGTGTGTGCGTGTGAACCCAGCGAATATGACGGAGCAACAGCCCGGGCGGGATAGCTCTAAGATGGGAGGAGGTATCCGCAGGTACGGAAGGAACTTGGAGGAACCTGACGGGAACTAAGGGTGCGAATCCAGCACGGGGAACACGGGGGACGGGAGAACTTGACGAGACTCAGAGAGACAGAGAGAAAGAAAAAAAAAACAAATAATCCGAAGCTTGCCAGGTCCGGAACCCCTTTGCTGTGCTGCCGCCGCTAAAACAGCCCAAAATTCAATTTCATGCGAGAGACGCTGCTGCAGGAGGGAAGGCCAGAGATTGGGTAGACGAGAATCAACTTGTTCCTCCCGCGCGCTGCCGTGATAGGTGATGGGTACAGATGCAACCTCGACATGTTGTGCACACCCATACACACCAAGTAGTCAGGCACAATGTACTCGGTACCAATCTTGCTGTACGGAATTCTGTGTATCCGTACGTTCAGGGGAAATAGCATGTCTGCCCGATGCTGTCATGTCTTGCTCTCTCACAAGCCTCTCACGCCTCTTTCCCGCCTCGGCCTGTCGACAACACATCTTGAAAAGTTCAGATTATTCAGAATCAAATAACAAAAAAAAAAAAAAAAAAAAAAAAAAAAAAAAAAAAAAAAAAAAAAAAAAAAAAAAAAAAAAAAGAAAAAAAAAAAAAAAAAAAAAAAAAAAAAAAAAAAAAAAAAAAAAAAAAAAAAAAAAAAAAAAAAAAAAAAAATGCGGCAGTGAAATGAACTTTGGAGACTCGACACCCTGCGAAATGTTTGGCTGGGGTTTGTGGACTTGAAACAACTGGGAGTCGACCAGGGCCATGCCGCTTTCCACCTCAGGAACCAAGTATTCAAGTACATCTTGGTCACTGGTGTATGTACTCCAAAAAAGTACTTAATACATGTCTACCTAAGATAGCTCACTCTGAGGTGTAGCCAGTCATTATCGAGAAAACCAGACCTCCTTGCCAGCTACGAGTTCCATCTTCTTTCACCCGCTGTCAGAAATCTCTGAGGCTGCCTCCGTCTTCCCGACTCTCGTCACAGATTTTCTTCTTCTTCTATCCCCTCTCCTGCTCCTGAAGCTGTTGTTCTGGTGGCCCCTCTCTCTCCTCGACATTGCATCACGGTCCGTTCGCCGTTTACATCTGGGCCAACTGTCTAACAATGTACCGTTATCGGAGACGAGGTCTCTTAGTCATATTCCCTGCACCGGAAGTATACCCGCCAGTGTTAGTCGAATTTTGAAAAAGGAGGTCTGGCCCTGGCCCCTGGCTGGGAGAGTATTAAGCTCTCGGGCCTGGCCTCTGGGTCTTGGGCTCCTCAGTCCTGGACTCCTGGGATCATTGGGAAAACGTCCATTCGCATTGGACCAACTTTCAGACTTGTCACCTAGTCCACATCCAGCGCAGCTAGAGGAATACCTCCAACTCCAACCGAAACTGCCACCTCTCGCGCACATCGTTTGTATCTTCCTATTCCGGCTCTACGAGTTTACCCACCTTGAACGCTACTTCCGACCTCCCACTTCCACTTACGCATAGTTCCACCTCATCACAATCCGGATTCAGGTAAACAGCTGCCTCTTGCCTGGGCCAAGACGTCGTACAAACATACGCCTTCGTCATGCTTCTCATGACCAGCTCGTCACGGGAATTAAAGCCCGACCCGCTGAAACTCTCAATACTGGAGACGGGAGACCTCTGCCAGCGTTCTAGACAAGCCGCAAAGCCGCTGCCATCATGTAGGTACGCGCTTCAGGCTCACTTTCACGCATCGAGAAATGTTCCCGGCGTCGATCTTTCCAATTCGTCAACAACTTTCTGCCCGTCTCCGGCGATCGACATCAATGTGATTTATCTCCCTCCTCGCTTCCTAAAGCATTATCTTCCCTCCGTCAACCATGATGAACCATCCTGAGCAACCACCGCCGCCACCATCGCCGCTCATCCGTGCGTCACGGCTGCTGGCCCGTTTCGATGTGGCTCGTCCCAAACACCAGGTAAACTTCACATCCACTCCGTTGCAAACGGCGCCGGTCGAGAAATCAGCCTCCAGATCCAGACCTATGGCGTCGACGGCGCTGACTGTGGCTTTTCTCAGCTTCTGTTCGGACCCGAGCCTGACACGTCCCCCGCCAAGATATTCCTCTGTAAGTCCGTCAGAGACGAGGAATGTGAAGTAATCACCACAGCATACCAGTTGCCTCGCAAACACCATCCGAGACTTATCGCGTCCTCCTCAAGCTGAAGAGACCGGTCTGCTTTCAATCTCACCACCACACTTTCCCACCAACCAGTATCCGCCGTTGTTCACCTGGCACACGCCCGCAGCAGGATCCTATTTCCATCAACCGCGGTACGGGTATCCGTATAGACTCGCTCACGTCCTCACCGGCAACCCGTGCGGGGGCCTGCACCCCCCGGAAGCTTGCTGAGCACGAGCAACAACAAGACTCTGCTCGCGTTTACGGCTGCAGGCGAAAGTCAATTACCTTCGTCCGAAGTTTTGTAACCAGCGTAAAGGTTGCAGGCAACACGCGGAAGGGGGGGGGGCACGGGGGATTTTGCTTTAAGGCTAAGGCTTTTCGGACCCCATTACTTGAAGACGATGTAAGAGTACTTGGCTAGTATTCGTCTTGCGATGTCGTCTT